CGCGAAAGTAAATGGAAAATGGATGGTCTATAAATTTTCGCTCTTGGTTTTAAAGTTGCGAAAAAGGTTATTTAAGTGTGTCGTAAAGATGTGTAGAAATGGGTATTTTCTTTATAAAAGTTGCTTATGGCTAAGTAAGGTTTAAGGTTCAAGTAATATTGAGCTGATTCCTACTGAGTTATGAAAAAGTCCAAAGAAAGATATTAAGCCTTTTGCCTGAAAATATTTAAGTTTTGGTTGCCCAAATAGGGACTGAAAAGTATTTATTAATTTTAATAGAAAAATAGAAAAGTCGAATAACCTTATTTATTATTTAACTGTAAGACAAGATCTTCTTAATCTTTGTCTTTTAAACAGATTATACGTCAAATGCTATTATAATAATTTCAATGAAAAGCAAAATGTATTTATTTATTTTCAGACAAACTGCTTTAAGGTCCATTGGCCAAATCCATGTCTGGCTGAAAACTATTATAAAGCACAACTCATTAACCAATTCTAAAGGCACAACTTTAGCCACGCACGCACATCCATGAACGGATTAAGCTGCCAGGCTTATGCCACTAAATTGCGTCGATGTTGAGCATAATTTATGCATTAAAATTGCATGCAAAGGAGAAGTTGACTCCGAAACCTGGATCGCACCGTGTGCTGCAAATTAAATCTAATTATGTGCGGCCGACCCTTCCGGGAAAAATGGGTACAGCGGGGTCAGGGGAATGCGGATTTGGGCTTGGACATGGCTTTCTTTTTGCCAAACTGACCCGCACAAATGCGTCTATTGACTGAAACAATGCAGACAAAAGCGACGCAGTAACTGAGCCGGGTTAGTAAAGTGGGAAGAGGGTCGCGAGTCGTGGAAATGGGATCTGCCGCTGCACCTGAAGCAGCAACAGGACCTGGGCCAGGTGGGCAAGTGCAGCCAGTTGGCTCCTAATGGGAAAATCATCAGGGAGCCACGACGACGACGATGGTGGTGGCGCGGCCAGCAAGGAACATACCGGGCAGTAAGTAAGAAACAAAAGAGCTTAGCTACACTGAAGTTTTAAACGGTGGAAATACATTGAAAACATTGATTAAACTATTAATATAACAAGAAATTTAGATAGTATACAAAAAATCTTTGCTATTTAAAAGTGGAAGTATAATAAACAAGTCAGTGTTATCTGTTTTGAAAAACAAGGGACTTAAATGTTAAATTTCTAAAGATTTATCCCTCCTTAAAACTATTTTTCCTGCAGTGCAAAAAAGGAATCGAAAACCCTGAGCTGGGCTTGCGCCTGAATTGAGCTTATGAATGGACAGCCAACGGGGTTTATAAAGGAGCGAGGCCAGCGGAAGAGCGGTCAACTTATGGCTTAGACGCGCGGCAAAAATCCATATTTATATATATGAATGGGACAGGGAACGGTGAAGTGGTCAGGGGATTTGGTCCTGGGGACAAGGGAACCAGACCGGATCGGGTTTGGGCTCAGGGGACTGGGAACTGGGACCCGGTTCGGTTACTTATGCTTCAATGGCGCCCTGAAACTCGGTGTCGGTGTACGTATGAGTATGTGCCGCAATTGCGGTAAAATATGTTTGCACAAAAGGAAATCGCCAAAGCCACGTGTGCAGGAAATGCTGAATTTGTCTGCTTGGCGCGCTAAAACAAAGCCAGATTCCCTCTATGGAGGGGCTTTTCCCGGAAACGCATTCGACTGGATACCGATTTTCTTTTTATTTGGATAATTCCCATGGACATTGTGTGACGGTTAAGTATTCTCTCTCCTTAAAACTCGAAATATTTAAATAATTAATAAGTTTAAATAAATAAATACTATTATAGGCCTTTTATATTTGAGTATTATCGTTATTTGTACATACCAGAATTTTGCAAAACACCGACCAGAAGTAGAGATCGCAGATCTCCGATATTTTTCTATCGATCCCCCTTGCTTACTATCGATATAAGTGTCTATTATTTATAATTGATTGTTTACACTTATGCTACATTACATGTTACAATGTGGTGTTCCTACTATGTTCCTATGTAATACGTTTTAAATAATAATTTTTGATTTATTAAGGATTTCAAGTAAAATAATGGCTGCGCTAGTTAGTAAGAAAAATAAACAGTTATTATTCATTAGATTATAATTTATTTAATCAAATTTATGACAATGCAATATTGTTTAGAAAAATAGAAAAAGCAAACGGCAACATAAATTTGTTTTATCAACAGCATTCGTTGCGGCAATCGGTCTGATTAAACAATAATACAGGCAATAAATTACTTTCCAAATTGCATTAAATTAACGACTAAGCTAATTGCAACATTTAGCTTATACAGTCATTCAATCTATAAATGCATGTTAATAAATGTTCCATTGGAGTTAACCAAGTGTAACCACTTCTGGGAACAGGCTGCCAAATGTGCTCACATTTTTTTTCGGGTATTATTGCAATATTGCTGCCAGTGCGCCAAAAACTGTGCTCTATACCCGGCTAGATGGCGAACTATGGCGGCACTTCCGCTGCCAGTGCCACTGGGCACTCCGGAGCTCCGGTGTCTCTCCCTCTCTCTCGTCTTCCTGCTCATCGGCGTCTGGACTGGACTTTTGGGAATATTATTGAAAAGTTTTACCGCAAGCTGTGCCGAAGCTCACTGCAAAAACAACCAACGTATTGTTCGCCCGGCCCCACCCCCAACCCTCAACACAAAAAAATACATAAAAAAAGGAGTGGGAAAAGAGCTGGGAATAATAAAAGGAGAAGAAGAAAGCGAGGATTAAAAATTTTTGCCAGTCCAAAGTTTCAGTTTTGTTGCAACTTTGGCCACTGCCACCACAGCAGCCACACCTACTTCCGCTCCTCCTCCTGCCCCTGCCTGGCTCCCTGGATCAGCTCTACATATGGCCATACTCTCACCCACCCTTTCTCCGGACAGTACATAAATTTAGCCGGCAATTTTCGGGCATTCGCCCAATCAGACTACAAGTCACTAAAGTATAAGAAACTTTGAAGCGTGCCGGTTAGTATGGTATATTTTCCAAACGCACCACAGGACGACATTTAGCATGGCTAGGGAATGATATAAGATATAAGTAGGTCCGAAAAGGATTGGAGTTTCAAGATTTTTACAGAGTTAATTGTAGAATTTGTCACATTTTTAATTTGAATTTAAATCATTTTAGAACTATATTCATCTATAAAGACAAATCTATAAAAAGAACTTTTTGGCCTCAAATACTACGAGTTGATAAAAGTCACAATACCTCCAATTTTTTAAATATTAAGAAATAAGCAGATTCCAATCCATTAGTTAGGATTCCCCTAACCATGTTTGGATGTTACTGTCCCTATTTTTCTGGTTGCCGCAAGTTCTCAATTTTTGGACATAAGTTTTCATTATTTATGGCGGAAGTTTGAGAGCTCGAATGCCATAATTTAAGCAAATGCGAATGCGGATGAGTATCGCCAGCAGTTTGACTTCGACCATTTGCCATCCAAGGCCACTGGACAAACGCAAATATATTCAAGCTAATTGCATTTTCCCACTCCAAGAGAGGAGCAAACGGTGGCACGGGATTGAAAATCTAATATGCGATGGCAAATGACATCGCACAGAACTGAATGACCATGTGTTTGAGATGAAACTTGCACAACCTTGACATTTTCAGTCGCAAATTGACCCAACACCCTCCGCCCAGCTCAGGATAACTGCATAGTTTTAAAAATGAAATTCAATGTTGCTGAAAGCGGAACAAGCATCAATCCATCAATTATACAGAGTCATAATCAATATTTGCTGCTTTAACAAACTGCGAACAGTTAATGCACTCAAAGAATCTCTTCTTTGGATAGTTTAGTTCTTTAGTTTTTTAGAACGCTAAAAGAACATTGATCTGGTCGTACCTTCTTAACAAAATTATAAGATAAGAAGACAGGCTTTGCTTAAACCTATTTCCAGAGGGTAGACAGGCATGGCTAGATCGGCCTGTTTGGTGATGCTGTTCAAGAATAAAGAGGGTTAATGCTGTAGCTATAAAGCACTTTCAATGAATGTCATTTGGTGCTCCAATTTCCACACATTTTTGTAGTGTAAGGTGCTTGTGGCAGCGGAGGAATAGTTTTGCGGTCCAGAATGGGTGTGTCAAGTAGTTGCCAATCAATTTTTGGCATCGTTACGCCGCCCCGCTTCGTACTTATGAGGGACAACGATGTGATGGGCAGGAAGTGGCAGAGGTGGTGGTGAAGGACGACATTACCGTGGGCTGAAGCCATCAGCTTGGCCAGGAGGACTAGAGGATCGTCAGTGGCATTGTGGCCAACAGGCACGTCGATTTCAATTGAATGTGGTGCAGCCAACTACCGCTGTCCCCCCGCGTCTGTGTGCTGCTCGGAATCGAGAGTCCCCTGTCCGCTGTCCCACATCGTCCATTATGACACGCTGCCAGCGCTGCCAGCAAACCAAACACAATCACAGAATGATGCAGGATGCCCAGCGTCCACCGGGCGACTGTCGCCCGCTTCACTTGCAGTTGACACTTTTGTAGCCAGCTTGCATTCTGGGCATCCTGGTATCCTGGCATCCCTTGTCCATCTGTTTGTCACTCGTCCAGTTTGCTAGTCCTTGTCCTCGTCCTCGTCGCCTCCGCCAGTCCCGTCCCTAGTCGTCTGTCAGTTGGCCTATGCCATCGATGGCTCCGCACCTCCCACAAGCCTGATTCACTTGCAACATCAATTCCGTTGACGTGTACACTCACCTCTTCCATGGATCTCACTCTGTATCTGCATCTGTTGGCTCGCATCAAATAAGCACGGAACAATGAGCTAACCCAATAAATATGAGTGCATCAGGTCACCCCGAGTGGGGCGTGTGTTTAATTAATAGCTGTACTTGCGCTGGTTCCATTGTATTTGCTGTAGTAATTAAATCCTAATTATCCAGTTTCGAATATGAAGTGCCAATCAAGCCTGGTGTATGTGCTGTTATTGAAGATATCAAAGGAGTCGATATTATACACTCAAAGAGCTCGGAATTATTATCTCAGGCTCAAGCCACACGAACAATATTTTACACGCAAACATATTAAAACATTTAAGGATACTTTAAAATGGCGCAGCGAGCACAGAGGTATATATTCTTGGCCGGATCCTTGGTCCGGCGTTTCCATGCGGCTCGATATCCGCGCAGCAGCAAGGTGGCGGTGTCCAATTTCGAAGCAGATCACTTTTTGCCTTACAAGAAGATGCAGGAGACCTTGGAAAGTGTGGCTGGTCGCCTAAACCGACCCTTGACGCTGTCGGAGAAAATCCTTTACTCTCATTTGGATGAGCCGAAGGAGCAGGAAATCGAACGTGGCAAATCCTATCTGAAGCTGCTCCCGGATCGAGTGGCCTTGCAGGACGCCACCGCCCAGATGGCCCTCCTCCAGTTCATCTCCTCGGGTCTAAAGAAAGTGGCCGTTCCCTCAACCGTTCACTGCGATCATTTAATCGAGGCCCAGGTGAGCGGCGATAAGGATTTGGCCCGAGCGAAGGATCTCAACAAGGAGGTCTACGACTTCCTGTCCTCCACTTGCGCAAAGTATGGTCTGGGCTTCTGGAAACCCGGCAGCGGTATAATCCATCAGATTATCCTGGAGAACTACGCCTATCCGGGCTTGCTGATGATCGGAACGGACTCCCACACCCCGAATGGCGGCGGCTTGGGGTGTCTGTGCATTGGAGTCGGTGGTGCCGATGCCGTCGATGTAATGGCCAGCATTCCCTGGGAGCTCAAGTGCCCGACTGTGATTGGCGTTAATCTCACAGGCAAGATTAGTGGCTGGACTTCGCCCAAGGACGTTATACTAAAACTAGCAGAGATTCTGACGGTCAAGGGAGGAACGGGAGCTATTGTGGAATACCATGGACCAGGCGTGGACTCCATTTCCTGCACCGGCATGGCCACCATATGCAACATGGGTGCGGAGATCGGAGCTACCACGTCGTTGTTCCCTTTCAACGAACGCATGATCACCTACTTGTGCGCCACCGGCAGGGGCCAGATCGCTGATGAGGCCGAGAAATTCAAAAAGCTTTTCACTGCCGACGAGGGCTGCAAGTACGATCAGGTCATCGAGATCAACTTGGATACACTGGAGCCCCTGGTAAATGGTCCATTCACGCCCGATTTGGCCCATCCCATCAGCAAGCTAGGCGAAGATTCCGAGAAAAATAAGTATCCTATGGACATCAAGGTGGCTCTCATCGGCTCCTGCACGAATTCCTCCTACGAGGACATGGGTCGCTGTGCCAGCATTGCCAGCGATGCTCTAAGCCATGGCCTCAAGTCCTGCGTACCCTTTAATGTCACACCCGGATCCGAGCAGATTAGGGCCACCATTGCAAGGGATGGCATCATCGAAGTTTTGGAAAAATTCGGAGGAACGGTTCTGGCCAATGCTTGCGGACCCTGCATCGGACAATGGGACCGCAAGGATGTCAAAATGGGGGAAAAGAACACGATTGTGACGTCGTATAATCGCAACTTCACCGGCCGAAATGATGCGAATCCTGCCACACACTGTTTTGTTACCAGTCCGGAAATGGTTACAGCCTTGGCCATCGCCGGACGCCTTGATTTCAACCCCATAAGTGACCTACTCGAGGGAAAAGATGGCAAAACTTTTAAATTGAAACCGCCCATGGGCGATGAGCTGCCAGCCAAGGGCTTTGATCCTGGAGAGGACACCTACCAGGCTCCGCCGGAGAACGCTGATAGTGTCAAGGTCAATGTGGATCCCAAGTCGGAGCGTCTGCAGATACTGGAACTATTCGAGAAATGGGACGGGAAGGATTACATTGATATTGCGGTTCTAATCAAGATCAAGGGAAAGTGCACTACGGATCATATAAGTGCCGCCGGTCCCTGGCTCAAGTATCGAGGTCATTTGGACAATATATCGAATAATTTGTTTATCGGAGCCACCAATTCCGAAAATAATGAGATGAACAAAGTCAAGAACCAGAAAACCGGTCAATTCGATGCCGTTCCCGCAGTAGCACGTGATTACAAGGCTAACAAAATCAAGTGGTGTGCCGTGGGCGAGGACAACTATGGCGAGGGTTCCTCCCGGGAGCACGCTGCTCTGGAGCCACGACATTTGGGTGGCGTAGCCATCATCGTCAAGTCCTTCGCACGCATTCACGAAACGAACCTCAAGAAACAGGGCATGCTAGCCCTGACATTCGCCAATCCGGGTGATTATGATAAGATTCAGCCCTCGAGCAAGTTATCGCTGCTCAACTTGAAGGATCTTGCACCCGGAAAACCTGTGGATTGTGAGATCAAGAACAACGGTAGCTCTGAAAAAATCCAACTAAACCACTCCTTCAATGAAGGGCAGATTCTTTGGTTTAGGGCCGGCAGCGCCTTGAATCTCATGAAGGAGCAGGCGGCCGGCGGGGGCGGTGATAAGAGATAACAAATTTTAGCCAGTATCGACATATAATAGAATGTTTAAAATAATTACAAACATGTTTTTGGAAATTATTTAAAAGTTAGTAAATATTAAAATAATGAAATTGATTTTTTTGATTGAAAACTAAATACCCTAAAGTAAGTATTATTAAAAAGATTTCTAAATCGAGCTAAAAAGCATTTCAATTTCAATTAAATTTTAGCCCTACAATTATATGGTGGTCCTTATTCCATATCTTAAAATATGGTCACACTTGGCAATATATATTTTTTAAACGAGTTGGGAATAAAAAGTTTAATAACACATAACTGTCTTTACAAATAATCAAAATGTGGGAAAGCGAATAAATTAAAATAACATTTTATTGTAACTCTACATAGAGACTGCTCTTTTGTTATTATGACACTACACATTACGGTCACACTTATTTATTTCTTTTATATTTCACATAAGCATATTGAGCTAAAATGTCTCGGTTTTTTGCTTTTACCCACAACTGGCTAATGCTGACAATAAGCCAACTTAATTATTTGTGATAGTTTAATATCTTCGTAATCTAATATTCTGCAAAAATAACCCGACTTTACATAAACCACAGGAAACTATAATGGGCAAAAGTTTAATGCCAAAATGGCACATGAAATGCCAAAGAACCAAAACCGAAATAATTCAAAACTAATTAAAATCCATTTAAAATTGCACACAGCCTGCAATGCAGAAAAATAATAATAAATTTTCCGACTTAAGCCGCCCAACTTTTTTGTCAAATGGGATATGTACATACAGCTGTGTTCACGGAAATAGCAGTGCCACACGACCTGCACGTTTCAGATTGGAAAATACTATTACAAACACTATTTTCATCAAATTTTTTTTCATAAAGGCTTAGTGTATTTAATTATTAACAATACCACAATCATTTAATTTAGGTAACATAAACCCTTTAGAAGATATAGCTAATAACAACAAAAAAGGTCTATATTATGCCGATCATTGAAATAGCAGTGAAAAACTAAAATTCTTCATAAATTTAAAAATATCGTATAAGAAACCTATTTCTTCTTAAATTCTAATTGACTATGATCTAATATTTTGTTAAATAGCCTTTAGAAGCTATTATAGCCTCATACATGGGTGGCAAGGAGTCCACCAAGTCTTAGCAACGCTTGAGGGGAATATGGCCTCATTCCTCCTGCACAAATTGCCAAAGCTACATCTTAGAAGTCGGAAACTTCTTTAATACGTAGCCCTTGATGTCCCCCATAAGTTTTCGATCGGATTTATATCCGGGGACTGTGCAGGACATGGCATTGCATCCACTTTTTCATTAAGAACCCACTCTTTGGCTACCTTGCTGGTATGATTAGGGTCACTGTACTGCTGAAATGTCCAAATTAATGGCATATTTTCCTCAGGATACGGCTGCTAGACAGTTTTTAATATTTAGACATAAACATAATGGTCTTTGATCCCGCAGATCATATATACAGGACCTACAACGTTGTATGAAAAGTATACCGATACCATGACTTTTAGGCCACCGTATTTTACTGTCTTCAGCGTATGGTTTTGGGGGTACTATGTATTTGGAGGTCGACGGACATATTATCTTGTCCTATTCCACCAAATAAAACCAATTTGGAGTCATTTGTCCAACGGATATAACGCCATTTGAATAGTGGCAGTTCAAGTGGCTATTGGCGAACTCCAATCTGGCCTTGATATGCCTTTAACCAAGCAGTGACATTTTCCATGGTCTTCGCGAATTTAGAATTTATTCAATAAGTCCCCGGCGAATGGTCCCATGACTGATTCCCATGCCAATTCCCGCTCATATATCCCTAGAGGATGCAAAAGGACGAGCTTTGCTGAAGCGAAGTACGCGTCGAGCCTGTACAACTGTGGTTTTTGCGAATCATACCTCGGTTTTTTTGGGTTCGGTTCATATTTTATGATTTATAAACTATTTTAAAAGAACAATTTGAAAGATTTAGAGACTCTTTACATGTTTTGCCTTCTTTCTAGGCTAAGTTATCTGATACCTTTCTCTCATGGAGCAGTGAGGTCCTGCGCCCACAAAAATAATTTTTTTTGCGTTGTAAAGGTGTATTATAGTATAAACTATAATAATGACCGTAATTAAACTCATTTTTTACAAAATTAAAAGAAATTTCGGCACTTTTTGCGAAAGAAAATTAAAAACTGCTATTTCAGTGATCGGCCAAAACGAGCTGCATATGTGAAAAAATATCAATAAAACATAAAAATAGAGCAAATCTAACGGAATTTTTTCTCGATTCTTATCTTTATGTTCCATTTTACTAAAACAATGTGCTATATATCAGCTGGCAAAAAGGAATATGTACAAAAAAACGTTTTGAAGTTGTTTTTCTGTCGCACTGCTATTTCAGTGAACACAGCTGTACATATATATGGAGAGAGAAAGAGAGATAGTAAGGGATGGTGCGTGGGTGAGAGAGAGAAGCGCAATAAGCGACGCTTATCAACGGTGCCAACCGAAACTGTCACATGCATTGTCATTGTCACAGGGGCGGTCTGTGAAAGGGGAATTTTGGAGCCGAGGCTGTGCCATATTTGCATTTTCCCTCTCTTTCCAGCACTCGACCGGCATGCACTAGTGTGTGTGTGTTGTGCGTGAGTGAGGGCGTATGTGAGTTGGCATAGAAAATTATTTGCTACTTTTAATTAGTGCCAAAAAGTCATTCACAAAATCCAGAAAGAGGGAGGGATTGCACCCAGGGAAAGAGACATAAGAAGCGAGAGAGATGGGCATAGAGCCGAGTGCAAGAGAGAATGAGAGAGACAGAAAGAGACGTTGGAGCCAGAGTGCACAAGTTCAACGAGCAAATACAAAAATGTCTATATATGTACATATGTATATGTGTATATCTGTATCTGTCTCGCTCTGCGGCAATATTTGCACAGCCTCCGACAGAATGAGCGGGTCATGACTGCGGTGCATGTGGCATTACAGTGCGTTTCGGTACTGTATGTAGGGCTTAGATGCAACTCTGAATACTAAAAATTCCCAAGTCAGAATTCTGGCGCACGTAAATGTACCATAGAGCTCAAAAAATGTTGTCTTCCACTCGACAGGAAGGTTTACTAAAGATTTCCTGGGGAATAATGAAACAGGCTATAAAAAGATAATTATCTGGCTATATCCATTATAGAACTAGCATTAACAACAACAATGAAAACATATTCCTAAGGCTCATTCAAAAATATAATAGACAAAAATTTCCAGTAAGGTTTTTTTTAAGCTCTCTTAAATAAAACAAATAAGTTATAATGAATATGGTAATATATGGTAATCTTTATATTTCGTTATTATGGTAAGCTTTATGTTAGAATCCATCTATTTATAATAATAAATTGCTTTAATAATAAAATAAAATTTCAATTTGACCCAAAACAAGTACACTGCACTCGTTAAACGCACTGTATATCCAAAAGAAGCCACAGCCTCAATCGAAAAGGCCAACAAAAAATGATTGCAATTTAGCTCTGCCTAAAACCAAAAATGTTCAATTATTAACTCGTAATGGTAGGATGTGTGTGACACAGGAGGAGCACTGGGAAGCAGTACGAGGAGCTAGGGACCCAGAAGGCCCAGGCAGAGGTCCAGTTGGTAAGAAGTCAGCTAAGCTGGCGGCCCGAAATTATAGACTATGATTTTTGTCAAATTGCATTCAATTTTGTCAGAGCTCCAACTGGAAGGCAGGCAGGCAGGCAGGATGGCAGGAAGGCAGAGCTCCTTTGTATCCTGGCTCTGCCACAAGCATTTGTATCTCTGAATCTGCAAGATCTCCTGCTGCCCTCATCCGCTCCCGTCTGTGGGTGAGTGCACGGCAAATGTCACACATGCATTTCAATTTGAATTTACAATATTTCTGGCTTCAAATGCAGGCATGTGGTTGTGTGTGTATGGCATGCCAGGCACTTCATATATGTCGGGTCTGCTCCGTACCCTCCTAGCCCTCCTCCCACTCCTTCTCTGTTTGTCATTTGCATACTTTGCACTTAAGTGAATTTAATCTTTTCTCCATGCTCCTCTTCGATGTATGTATTGCCCTGAGCAAGCAGAAAAATGTGTTTATCTTTTGTATGGATTTTTAATGTCATCTATTGTATCGAAGCTTTTCCACATCTCATCTTTGTATCATTCATGTCTGCAGCTCCCTTTTTTTCTGTTATTTCGGTTCCTTGCTTAGTTTATTTTATTAAAATTTTAATTGCTTTTTGGAAAATGTTTTGTCAATGCGTAGACACATCTAGGACGAGTTCATTGATATATAAAGCGATGAAAACGGAAACATTCAAGCCAATTTTTATGGCACACACTCACACACACAAGCACACACCTAAATACATGTTATTTTCCCATTTTCTATTTCCTTGGCTGGGTAATAATGGATTTTTCAATTGAACTCGAATTTTTTGTCAGAAAGGTTGTTAAATCGTAAGAATGTGCAGGGAAATGTACATCCAAAGAAAATGTTTAAGCTTCACAGACTTGCAAATTCGCATTTATAGAAATATTTCTATTGATTGATGTGTTTTTTGTTATAAATTTTTAATCTTTAAACTGTGCTACGCTTGGAAATATGTATTCCATTGTTTTTTCCTTTGTCTTATATTTGCAATTCTTTTGAAAGCAAATATATATTTATCTCCTTTGAAACAATTGAATTAAAAAAAAAACTATCAACGTAAATATTTCTAATCCATGGTGTTTACGAATACTGATAAAATCTAGGCTTCCAGCTTATTGAATATATTTTATTATTATTTAAAATGAGGTAATCCACATTGGTCTTAATATAAGAAGCTGCCAAATTTTTAAAGTCTTTCTTCACTACTGCTTTAAGTTTCCCCCAAAACCGCCAAATGAAACCACCAAGAACCGAATCATCCCTCCGAAAATGACCTCCCCATTTGTCAGCTGCAATAAGAAAATTACACGCTTGACTCGAAGCGATAAACGTAAATCACACACAAATGACAACTGCCAATAACCTAACACGA